AATTTGTATTGAGATTTTTATTTTTATATCTGCCCCTAAACGACTTCTATATTTGATTTTGAAAAAGGATGAGAAATAAAGAAAAGAAAAAAATGAGTGCATTGACCAGTAATCGGCGCCTCTACCAAGTGGACCACCGAAACACAAAGCTACTATAATCAAATTTGAAGATTAGATTATCGATGGCATGGATACATTCTAAACCCCTTCTTCCCAGCCCTCGTGGGGTTAATGATTCTAGATATTATTTGTTTTTTCCTTCTAAACAGATCTACATTTGCAGTTAAGTAGATATGGAGAAAATGTACAGTTTAACTTTGATACCTTGTAATTTGAAAACTTGTGAAATTTCAAAATGCAATTTTTAAAATTAGATTTCTACAATAGTTTGTCAAATTCTGATGTATATAGATAAATTGTTTTGAAAATGGCGCTGAAATAAAAGCAACAATATGAAATTGTTAAAAAATCCAAGTTTTGGAACGGAAGAAGATAACGAAGCAATTGTTTTTTTCTTCTAAAGATTTATCAATTGTGTTTGTTACTTAGTGATATTGGTCAATGGTAGAATGTTCCTCTCGACAGCCAAATTGATGTATCAAATGTTACTTTTAATTAAATTCTTTTTAAAATTTTTGTAGATGCTTTAGATCAGAATATTATTTAAATCCAAAAAACCACTTGCATTTCAAGAAATAAATTTGTGCGACTTACATCCAAGCTTTCTATAAAAAAGGACATTTAATTGAATTTACCTACATAATCCGGAACATTATCTGACATCCCTGAATAGGACAATTTATCACAATAGAACCAATCCCTGTAGGTGGCATGGCATCAGTATTAATGGCGATTGCTGCTAATGTTGTCGATATCCTCTCCTCTATATTTGATCACTTTGCACGACATAAATTGGCTTCTACACTAGACATTTACATAATACAATCATGAAAATCTAATTTATCAGTTCGATCTAGTGTATATAGGGTTACGTTCAACTTAGTTTCAGATGAAGTGTTAGTATTGAGCGGGCTGACAGGTGGCGACTGTTTGTCTATAATTTGTTTATCATCACAGGTCTAGTTTATTAGCTTATAAAAAAGTTCGTAGATTGATATAGAATGATTCAAAAAGGAAAAACTTGTATTTCGTGCAAAACTTTTTTATTATTCAATGCAAAGCGCTTTCGGCTTATTTGCCATCATCAGTGCTCATCTACAAAAATTGTGGATGTAAACTTACAATTTAAAAAGATTTAAAAAAAAAAAATTATAAAATCTGAATTAGAATTTTAAGTCAAAAGTTAAAATAGTATATATACAATTGTTTGAACAAATTAAAAATTACAAGAAACAGACAAAGTGACAAAAAACCTGGTATTGGGAATAGTGAGTGTGGGATAAGCCCTTACAAATCAAATCTGATCTCCAAAAGCAAGTTAGCTTGTGTGGAATTAAGGAATCATGCCACCCTCACTATTCACAAAATTGAAAAAAGGTTAACAAATTAGTTAAAATTTAAAGAAATTTACAATTAGAGGGTGACTGTGGAATATATATTGAAATTTGAATCTATAATGCAATATTTGATATGAAGAAAGTAAAACGCAGAAGGCCAAAGTAAAAAAAAACTGAAGGTTTTTTTTTATATATGTTTTATATACATTATAATTATGAAAAAGTCTACCTACTGTCCACAACGTATCCAACAAGTTCCTGGTCATCCTCACTCCCAAAATTATATATTTCGGGATGTTTACAACTTGCTAAATCATAATTTTATTAATATTAATATTTTCAAATTTAAATTTATCTCTTCATTTTGGTTCAAGTTGTTTAACCGTTTCCACATGACAGTGGTGACAAGCGACACTTGAAGACTTTGACTTGTCAAATGTCAACAGAAGGAGGTGCGTTCACCTCAGTGTGGAACATGTTTCTCCGAGTGTGATTCGAGTGATTGGAGGTTAACGGAGATCAAAATTTGTTATTGAATTTAAAGATTTAATTTATTGTTAGTTAAATTTAAGTAAATGTTTAATATGAAAGATATTATTATTTTGATGTCAAGACAAAACAAAAATGTCACTCGCGTGATTCAAATGTGTCAGCCCGGACTCTGCAGAACATTCTTTCAGAGAACCCAAGATGGCACAACTGAACCCGCGGTCCCTAACGGTGAATCTGATGTTTAGTCCTAAAAATTACTAAATCACTCAACAAACGTACTCATGGTTAAAAGAGACAAAATAGAGAACAAATAAGTTTTAAACAGACAAACAAACAAAATTTGTTATTGAATTTAAAGATTTAATTTATTGTTAGTTAAATTTAAATAAATGTTTAATATAAAAGATATTATTATTTTGATGTCAAGACAAAACAAAAATGTCACTCGCGTGATTCAGATGTGTCAGCCCGGGCTCTGCAGAACATTCTTTCAGAGAACCCAAGATGGCACAACTGAACCCGCGGTCCCTGCAGGTGAATCTGATGTTTAGTCCTAAAAATTACTAAATCACTCAACAAGCGTACTCATGGTTAAAAGAGACAAAATAGAGAACAAAAAAGTTTTAAACAAAGGAGTACCATGGTCCCAAAGGTAGGCTCTGATGGGTGAAATCGAGTTTAGGAGGGGATGGCTCTCGAAGGCTTGTGATGGGTGACTCGGACCTACATCATCATAGAGGGTTAATTGAGTTGTCTATGGAGTGGTATGAAATTTCTGTTAAGGTTCACTTGAGTGTTGAGACAGAGTATATTGTTGTCTCTTTCGAGAGTAATTTCAACATCTTCATGAAAATCTAATAGATTGAAATTTTTTGTGTTTAAGTTAACTAATAATTTGGAGTTTTTTGTTGGGCTGAAATTATGTTGATTGAACCTTAAGTGATGTCCGAATGCAGATGTGTCCGGCTTCTTGATGTGCTCGCCTATCCGGACTCCCAGAGATCTACAAGTTCTGCCGATATAACTGGCATCGCAATCGCTGCATTGCAACCTGTATACTCCACTCTTATCTAACAAATTCGTTTTGTCTTTTGTGTTGACTAGATGGGAGTCTAGTTTATTAATTGATTTAAAAGATACTTTGATGTTATCTACATTGTTAGCAAAAAATTTTGAAATGCTCTTAGCTAAGTTATTTTCCCAGAAGGGGATTGATATGTAAAAATTATTAATGTGACTTAAATTGGGGTAGGCTAATTTTTGAATTTTCTTGAACTTAATTTTGGTGATTAGAGATTGAATTATGTCCGGGTCATACCCGTTGTTAAATGCAATTTGTTTAAGTATATTTAATTCTTGAATATAATTAATGTTATTTAGAGGAATTGAAAGAAGTCTATGAATATAGCAATAGAAAGCAGACATTTTATGTTGGTGGGGGTGATTTGAGGAATAGTGTATCACGTGGTCTGTTTGGGTGGGTTTTCTATATATGCTAAATTCGAATTTGTTACCCTGTCTATAGACAGAAAGGTCCAAAAAGTTCAAACAACATTCTTTTTCGGCTTCCAGAGTGAATTTTATATTAGGATGAATAGTATTAATTGAGTTTAGAATATTAGAAGCCGTGTTGGCGTTACCATTTATTAAGCAAAAAATGTCATCGACGTATCTGTGGTAGATTAAAATATTTTTATGTTGTGGAATAATGTAACTAGTTTCTAAATGATTCATAAAGATATCAGCGATTAAAGGAGATAGGCCACATCCCATGGCAAGGCCATCTGGTTGTTCGTAGGTGATATTGTTAAAAGTAAAGAAATTTTGTGATAAGCACAAGTTTAAAAATTGAAGAATGATATTTGTGTTATTGACAGAGACGTTTGAACTTCTCAGAACCTCCCGAACCAAAGGCATGGTCTCAAACCTTGGGACTGAGGTATACAGGTTGCTGACATCGAAAGAAACCATGGTGCAGTTGTCAGGGATGTTGAAGTTTTTGATTTTATTACAAAATTCTAAGCTATTACTTACCGAGTTGGCTGGTTTGAATTGTGTGAGATCATGAATTAAGTTGCAGATAAAAGTGGTGATTTTTGCAACTGGAGTGTTGATGAAACTTACAACTGGCCTAATGGGTATGTCTGTCTTGTGGATCTTTGCATTGAATAATAAAAAAGTTTTGCACGAAATACAAGTTTTTCCTTTTTGAATCTAAACTACGTGCACACAGCTGTCAACCTTTTTTGGTTTTTTTTAATTTTTTGATATAGAATGGTTTTATATTTCTTACGTTGTCATTTTCTTTTCATATTCATCTTTTACGTGCACGTGCGAGTTATATCAATTTTATTTAGGAACATAAACATAAATTAAATACGGAATCATATATTACCGATATCAAAGCAGTAGTACTACAAAGGAAGTGTTTTGGGTATTGTTATATATCTTATATATTAACACCAATGATGGTTTGGATTTAAAAATAAATAAAATCCTACCATTTCAGATGATACTGTCATCTTGTTAGTAGAAAAAGATCATGCAGATGCAGCTAGAAAACTGCAGAACTGACTTGATTAGTGATTAGTGAACTAGATCTCTACCTAATTCCAGTCAAAATAGAATAAAGTATTGTTTATTATATACCAGATTGTAATTAACGTGTACTGCAATAAATTTTTCAGTTTAAATATTTATTTAACATTTCCGCTGTATCCACTCCACCGAAAATTTACGTCTGTTTTGAAAACAAAAAACAAATATTATTATCTAAATTAAAATAAATGTTCGTACTGAGAGAAGCATCTTCGCCTAACTTATCAAACTTTCCTTTCAAAAAAAGATAATTAAAAAACTTTCTAAATCGGAGTGCAATGTTTGAAGTTTCCCTCTATTTATGTAAAGATTAATTAAAGCCATTATGAATAAAAGACAAGTTAATATTTTACTTAGCAAATCCAATTTGGACAGTTATTTATTTTATACAGTTATCAAGAAAATTACACCGAATTTTCTTTCTTTATAAATTAATAATTAAGTAGATCTTACCTTTTGATAAAACTGTAAGCAGAAATATGGAAAGGACTGCAGGGTTCTTCATTTTTCTGAAACAAAAATTCTAAGATAATATTTGATGTTGATTCTAAATTTATAATTTTATAAAAATTTAAAAATGTTACAGTAACGTAAAATCTTTTTTCATTTTTAAATAACTTAAGATATCTAGATTTCGGTAAAGGCTCCTTTTCACGTTGGCCAATATATGTGCTAGTAGTTGTGGCCAATACGTGTAGTTAATGGTCACTTTGGTAGGTATTGCAAGCAGGGTTGCCAATCTGTGAGTAATTCCTCACATTTGTGAGTAATTTACTAGTCTGTGAGTAATTTTGTGAGTAAAGGGCAATTGTGAGTAATATGTGAGTAATCGGGAAGTCAGCGTGGGTATATTCATGGTAGTTAGGCAAAATCCTGATCGGATAATTTATTAAAACCGTGTTCTTTTTAAAAATTTTAATATAAGCCTTATTTTACCCCCTAGCACTTTTAGCAGTCATTACAATTTTATAGTTTTAAAATTGCAACGTCCTCTATTGCTTGGTCAATGTAATACAGTAAAAGTAATTTTGATATTTTACAACACTAGGGCCCGTATTTATAAACAAAACTCAGCTGAGTCGGACTTGGGAAAGTCGTCCTTGAACGAAAATCGAAGTTCGGTTATATCGCGTGAATTTAGAGATGGGTAGTAACAAATCCGTAAATGTACATAACAGATTTGCTAATATCCATCTCTAAATTCCAGTTTAACACCAGAAGCACCTAGAACTTTAGAGACGTTGTAACCGAACTTGGATTTTAGTTCAAGGACGACTTACCCAAGTCCGACTCACGTAAGTTCTGTTTATAAATACGGGCCTAGGTGTCGTTTCGATAGTGATAGTCCCATTGGGACTGTCCCAACCACAAAGCACATAGAGGTTCCACGTGAATGACCAAGGTCAAAACCGACAACTGACATTTTTTATGCTATTTGCTCCAAACTCTAGATGGGGCTACTGGTGAAATTATTATTTCATACTCCATTTTTAGTTTTTTATGGGCGAAAAACTTAACCAAAGAATCTAAAATCCAAAGATGTGACGTGTATTTATTTAAGTTTTTGGTTAGTCTCATTTTTCCGTCTGATTTTAGTCATTTTTTTGTTGACTTTGGCTTTTGGTTTCTGTTTATAGTTTCGTCTTAGTTTTTGCAAAATTGTGATGTTTTGCTTTTCTATTTCCTACTGTGTTTTGCAATAATTTTGGTGCTACGTTGAAAACTTCCAGAAAAACTTCATTCATTTATCATGCATCATAAAAAGACAAACGGGTAATCAATTTATCACTGGACTAGATTCCGAAATAATTTCTCACATAAGAGAGTATACCATCTGTATTTGGAAGGAAAAAATTATCAGTGAATTAATAGTTAAAAGGATTCACCTTCCTGGCTCACGAACTAGGAGGTGTCTATCATCTTAGGAGGATGAACAATGGGCCTAATGAGACATAAGTGCCGTGGGGGTAACCCATCCTCCACACGTTACAGATACAAAGAGGATTCACCTTTTAATCCAATACCTATATAACATTTATCCTTCAGGTAAAAAGACATTTATAAAATACAACTTTAGTGTTAATAAAATGTTATATCCTAGTTTCTACTTCACATTTCAATATATTGATACTTTAAAGATTTAAGATTGTATACCTATTTGTTCAAAGTAAGTATTCGTTAAATATGTATTATTATTTATATTTATTTTGTTCTATAATATTTATTTAAGCTATTAATAAACATATTTTAAGAATGTTCTATTGATTATTTATTGATATATCTTATATTTTATTTAATAATAATATGCAGAACCAACTCTCCACACAGACCCATTATAACAAATTAATTCCTCAAATTTGGTATAATCGACCTAAATTATTTTGTAAAATAAAAGTTTCGAACTTACTAGTTCCACACTTTATTTTATAAAATAATTTATGTGGAAATCATTTGAAATTTAATTTAAAACTACTAACTACTCCTAAAAATTACAGTTTGAATTTACCGCCATCTGTTAATTGTCATTTTAGTTCCGGCTCCAAACACAAGGTGGCGCTAATTTGGTTTAAAAGTTTAACATTGGCGTGGGGTCTCTAGAAGATACGTGCTTTGTGGTCCCAAACGTCGATTAATATCTTTTTTTTCGTTCATTTTAAAAGTATATTTTTTTATTAGTAGATTTTTTTAAGTATTAGAATTAATGATTTATTATGATTTGGTCCGTTAATAAAGAAGCTACTCTGATTCTCCAATCCTTTTTATCTGTGTTTTTTGTTTAGCTGCTGACAAAGATGTTTTATATACAGGGTGATTCATAACTATTGGGACATAGGCTAAGGGCAGGTTATTTGTATCAAAATATGGCGATAGGGCCAAATATACCTTAATAAAATATTGCTGTGGAATAAGATACAGGCCGTTAAATAATAATAATAGTAATAAACTATAATCTAACAGCAAATTATTTGATACTGCAAAGCAAACTTTTCATAAATGAAATATTTTGTGAGTTGTTCAATTGCGTTTTTCTCGAAAACGGGTGAAATTTTCTAATCAAAACTACTAAAAAGTTTCGTAAAAAAAGTTACCACTTAATTTCATCATCAGGATTCATTCACGTGGCGCCTCCTGTAACAAAATATGAATTAATACATAAAATATTATTCCTTGTCGAAAAATATGCCTTCGTGCCAATTTTGATATCAATTAATAAATATACAGTGACATCAGAAAAAAACAAATTCCACAGCAATATTTTATTAAGGTATATTTGATCCTATCGCCATATTTTTGTCCAAATAACCTGCCTTAGCCTATGTCCCAATAGTTATGAATCAACCTGTATATTACTTTGTTATTAAAATAGTGAACGCACAGAAAAAAGGTGCATCTGTTTTGACTCTTGTATATTCTGAAAATTTATCTTTTAATGTTTGGCAACATTGCACAGTAGTAAAATAAATTCAAACCAAAGTGCAAGAGTACAAAATATAAGATTTATATAAAAAAACTAGTAATATTAATATTTTGTAGTTGTGAGTAATTGTGAGTAATCCGGAAAAGTTTTTGAGAGTAAATCGGTAAAGACCGGTTGGCAACCCTGATTGCAAGTGTTGACCCACATGTTCTTACGAGATACGTGTGATGTCAGTATTTCGACACAGGTGAGGTGTTGGTGATTGTGATGGCCAATCCTTTAGTTCAGTTAGCACCTCGATATCTATTATATGTTTGTACATTGGCCTGAACCGATGCAAACTGAACGACCCTTCAACAGTTCCAACATGTGGACAACTTCATACATTTCTGGGCCAATAAGTGTATTACACCATGGGTTATCGTAAAGAAGAAATTATAAACATTGGACAAACATAAATACCATACTTTTTTCATATCCAGAAATTGTTTGAGAGTTCCATTATTGGTTCACAGTATTATAGTTTTGATTTAACAGAAGAATTAAATAGTAGACAAATCCCAGGATTATATAATACTCAGATGTTAAATGTTTATAGTGGTCAAAGAAAAGTGATTTCTTATTGAAAATAATACCCAAATCTTGAATAAAACAAAAGGCCAATGACCTATTAAAAAAAGTTAACGCATGTCTATTTTCCACTGAATAGGCTAATGATAACGTAATTAATGTAGTCCAAAGATTATCATTTTCGTGTTTTTTGTTCGGACTTATTGCGAATCACTATATCTAAATTGTTATGTAAACGAATATCTAGTTATTGGATAATAATTAATTTAAAAAAAGTCGTTTTCTTATTGTCGATAATTCCGCACGGATTTTTAAAGAAACTATGTCAGGTCGGTGATAAAATATCTGTTTTTGAAAGGGTTATCTGGCACGGAAATTAATGCAGAAACGATTTGGTATATCCTGGATAATCGACCTTCCTACTTCATCTAAAATATTAGCTTGCAAAGTTTAAAGAAGGAAAAATCGCTTTAAAAATGAACGACGCAAAAATGAAAACTAGACGATCCATTTTAGGACTTTTGGATTTTATTATAATGATGTTTTCCTGATATTAATCCTGCTTTGACACTGATGTGTGCATATATAATTCATTTTCATTAGGGTCAGTTACTGACATCAGGATTCTGCGCAGTTCATTATTGGGACCGCAACATTATCTACTACGCAGAATCCAGGATGTCAGTGACTGGTTTCTGATCTTTGTACATTATCAGTTATTTGAATTAGCTAACGGAAAATATTGGCAGTACAAACGGTTTTAAAAGAATTATCTCTACTTGTAAGAGCATAAACCATTCTACAGTTTGGAAAACGAACCAACAGTGGACTTGCTCCCCTCTGAAATTAATTGAACTGCATCCAACTTGAACCTATCATCTTTAAACATATATCACCAAACACCACCACAGCATTTATTAAAAGATATGAATTGTAGAATTAGTAATGAGTCATGAAATAGATCCACCAGAAGGGGTAACGGAATAATATTGACGATACTCGTATTTTTTTCAAACCTAACTCAACCTAGAAGAACTTTAGAAGAAAATATTGAAAAATAGTGGTAAAATTATTTTTAACTTAAGCAACATTTGGTTATAGTTACTATTTTGTGCTGTAGAACCTAGACATTCCATACACTTCTTTCTTCTACTCAGTGTAATGGAAATTATATGAAAAGAAATGTATATGGTGTTCGGTATGAACTAATGGAACGCACCCTAAGCGTCAAGTGTCTGTCATGTCAATTGTCCATGTCATGCATGTCAGGTCCTCGACGTCAATTCTTTACCATTGTTAACATTCCTGTGTAGTAGTTAAATAAAAGTAATACATAACTAGATACTTTTATTAAACCCGTTGAAGAACATATAAAACATATGGTGTAGAATAAAAATGTAACAATTTTTTAATACATCCTCGTAAATTTGTAAACACACGAAAAGGAAAAGTTTAATAAAACTACAGAAACTTCAACATAGGTCGCGACCTGGTTACCATGTTATATTAAACCAGTCTCCC